CACACACACACCGTGCTCTCTCTGAAAAGCAACGGAAAAAATATCCTCAGATGAGGACTTAAAAAAAAAATGAGCTTAGCCATCCTGGCTCCTAGTGCCACAAGCCCCTCCGGTTGTCAGCCTCCCACGTGACCTGACCTGGTCCTGGTCCATAGCTCCCCGCTTGGTTTCATGCCTCATTGGCATTTCAATGAAGAAACTTATTCTTAGAGGCTGTAGAAAATCTCTGAGTGGCGTTGCTTGAATGCACATCCTAATTGTAGTGCTTGCTCCACTCTGCCCAGTGGGAGTTGCAAACAGCCTTTATGAAGTCAGATTTTTCTTGGAACCATTCTCAGGTGGCTATATCCCTCCTGAGAATTTGTCTTATTAAGCTATTAGAGTGGACAATGGAGGCACGTGAGTGTCTGGGTGGCAGCAGGCTGTTCTCTTGGGACATGGGATAAAGTGCCATAAATATCTTCCTTTATTTTATCTGCTTTGGCTCAAACTCCTGGCAGGGTAAAGGGTTCTAGACAGCTATTGTGTGTCTGCTCCCGTTGCTGTAGAAGTTGTTTGTTTCACAAGTAGAAAATCTATACCCAAATTAGATACATTGCTGTGTAATTGAAGGTAATATCCTTTTACTCACTTCCATATTGTGCTGTACAGACTGTGAGTCTTGTGTTGATGCTACCCTGGCAGTTTTTATTGATCAGCAAAAGACAAAAATGCCTTTTGATTCTTTCCAGATGCTGGCAAATTAGAAGATAGATCTCCCAAAGATTATTTTGTCACTAAGGAGACAACAGGCTTCTTGAGTATTATCTTTCCCTTGGGCATGTTTTCTTGCCAACTTTAGGGTTGAAAATACTGTGGTTTCTAAAAACAATAACCTGAAGGCTTTGTTTATTATCATTACTAAGCATGCCGAAAATGACCATTGGAGAAAATTCTTTCTCTCTCATTTCTTAGTCTCTTTTAGAGTCTTAGAGATAAAAAGATAAGTGTACAGGCAAACAGGAGGGGGAGGCAGGGTATAGAGAGATTAAATCCATTGTCATTGTTAGGCAGAGACTGTTGTATCATAATTCTGTTTTCAAGACTTGAAAGGAAGGAGTATTTTAAAGCACTTTGGTAGCCAGTTTAGTGATTCCTACATTTGAGTTGTTATTAACAGAATGCTCCCAGTTGCTAATTCCTTTTGTCAAAAATGAAAACCACTTATAGTCCTCAGGTAAAAAGTCTCCTACATATTTAAAATAGTTAAGTTCAGATGTGGCTTTTTTCCTCTCAGAGAAAGGATTTCCATTCATTCAACAGTTCTTTACCAAAAAGGACCTGTTTTGTGAATTCAAATAATTTTTCATTTTTTTCTTAGGTTTTCTCTAAGATTAACTCTTCTTTAAGTTGTAGAGCCCTAAATGAAATTCATGTCAAAAGTACTGCCTGCCTGCCTGGCTGGTATGGCTCAGTGGTTGAGTCTTGACCCAGGAACTAAGAGATCAAGGTTCCATTTTCAGTCAGGGCACATGCCTGGGTTGTGGGCCCAATCCCCAGTAGGGGCAAGAGGCAGCCAATTGATGATGTTTCGCTCTCATTGATATTTGTCTATCCCTTGCCCTTCCTCTCTCTAAAAATCAATAAAAACTTTTTTTTTTTTTAAAGTACTGCCTACCTGCCTGCCATGCACAGTGCCAAGGCGTGAATGCTAAAGGTTTGATCTTCAGAAAGCACGTGGTACATTATTTCTTCTTAGGAGGGATTTCATTTGGCTAATTTATGTCAGGGACATGTAATGGAACAAACCTATTCTCTTAATATAAATTTGTTTGTAGATTTTGTTTTTTAGTGACAGGGAAAAAGGAAGCAGGTACCCCAGTGCTTTTTCTCAGATAGCTACAATGACCCCAGGACCCTCTTCCATGTAGCTTAATTCCAGAGGGGAGATTCCCCCAGTGTGTCATGTAATGCCCACCATGGTCCTATGGGGTGAGCAGGACCGCTGCTGGGACCCATTTTTCAGATGCGGCTGCAGAGGCTCAGAGACATGAAGGGACCTGCCGGATTTCATAGGGGCTGTGATTAAAATTCAGTCTTCTGACTCCTAGATTACTGCATTTTCCTTCAGACTAGGTGTTCTCAACCCTGTCAGATACAATGGCCTTTTTCTAAAACTACCCTGAAATGAAATCCAAAGGTAATGTAATCAACACATAGATTTTTTAAAAAATAGCATAATTCTCCAAGTGTGATACAAAGGAGAAATTAAAGGGAAGTGATTCATAACCGAAGACTATGTATTTCAGTGTATAAATGTTTGGACATATCTAAGCTAGAAGATAGAATGAAGTAGTCACACAGCTGTTCCTCGGCGTAGACTCACCATGAGTACACTGTCTGCAAAGGCAGGTGGTGCAGGTTGTATGTTGACAGAAGGACCACACGTATGTTACCAACTGGGATGTGGTTTTCTAGAACAGCAAACATGCGTGGTAACATTTTGAGCACAACAAAGTGCAGTCCACATGGTGGTTACATTCTCGAAAATTCAGTTTGTGTTAGATCCATGCAAAAAACCCCCAAAAAACAAAACTGAGTTTTTTCTGTAAAATGAGTTAGAACCTAGTCTCAGATCACTACAAACCAGTTTTCACCTGTACACATATGTCCCATGGGTCACTCAGAAGTCTGCTGGACAGCCCTGTGCGTTGTAGATAATGGTGTGCCACTAACCCAGCTCTCTGAGTGAAAAAAGCTCTGGTTTGTAGCATTTGCTGATTACTGTGGTGTAAACACTCCCACAATGGCTGATTTCAAACTACCAGTAGGTACTGACTCAGTATTCCTACACATTCAACCATCAGCTCAGGAGGAGCCAGCTCCAGGACACTGCTACCTGCATGGGACATCTGGCATCTCTCACCCTGCCCTCTACATGCCAATTGGTTTCTCCATATCATTGTGACAATATAAAAGTGTCACTACAAGTTTCCAAAACACCCCCCTCGGGCGGTCTTTTCCCTATGGAGAACTGGGACATTCAGCTCTGATCAAATTTCTGGTGTAAGTGACTTCAGGGAGCAGTAGGTGCTTTACGGGGGTGGGTGTATGTAATACCCCTCCCCCTTCCTCCTGCAGTGGGAAGCCTCAGGCTTCCTCTTCCCACTGCTTCTGGGAGAAAGGAACACTGAACAGTGCTGAGGTGCTGGCCACTGGCCTCGGTCTGTGCAGCAGGTCTGGCTGTGCCTGCTGGTCACTAGGAGGAAGCCCTGGTACCCACACTCCTCAGCTCTGATGAATCCAGGGTCAGTGACACTTGCCCTGTCTCGCCTTTCTCAGCTCCATGGCTGTGATCAGAACAGGAGCGCCACTCAGAAAAGGAAACTCATGCTTTAGAGCTGTCCCCTGTGCCTCTTTTCACGTCCCAGTTCCTCACCTCCATAGTTAACAAATGGCAAACTTATTCAAGCGAGTCTCCTTTTCTCAATAGTGGAGCTGACTGTGCAGTATAGATCCCAAAGGCAGAGTAGCAAATGGCCTATGTAATGGACAAGTGGCATCAATTCACAGGGCCCTGGGAAACTTGAGAGCAAGCTGTAAAAATAGTCCTAAATACTGATCAAAATGCCGGGGGTAGACGCAGTCAGTTTTACTAAAAAAGAACATTTGGTTTAAGACCCTATACTACAAAGGATTCAGGGATCTTTTCTTTCCTGCCTCAGTGCGCACTTGACTCTGAAGTGGCCGTGAGAGTGGGTGGAGAGTTCTTCTTTGACCCGCAGCCTGCAGACGCCTCTAGGAACCTCGTGTTGATTGCAGGAGGCGTCGGAATTAACCCTCTGCTTTCCATCCTGCGGCATGCGGCCGATCTCCACAGAGACCGGGCAAACAAAGGAAGTGGCTATGAGATAGGGACAGTGAAACTCTTCTACAGTGCAAAAAGTACCAGCGAACTCCTGTTTAAGGTAAGGGAGAAATGTATGTTTCACAGCTTGCTGGCAGCAAACGTGTCACAGTATCAACTTCCATGGGACTTTCGTCTCAGTTCTGTCTCCTCTGCAACAGTTCAAACAAAAGGCCTGACAAGTCTTAATCTGATCATGCTCAAATGCGAATTAGCCTGGGTATCTTACCAGGACACTTAAAACAGCTGGTGTGGAGGAGGCTCCCAGGGGTGACAGGATAGGGCAGGTCTTGAATTTAGAGGTGGATGGACAGAAAAGTCGCCATGGCCCTGAGACTCTGTAAAGAGTCAGGAGACACGCAAGTGTGTTCATCTGTTACAAGAGTAGGTGAGACTGTGGTGGGGACCCAGCTGGGTAAATGAAACCCCCGTCAGTTGCATCTGTTGAAACTAAGTACATTTGATGGAGAAAGCTTTCACTGGGCTGCTTTGCAGCTGCAAGGATGAACAAAAGATCAGAAACAGTTAAAAAGACAGAACTGTGGTCAGTGAAACTGCTGCTTAATTGCCAAGGCTTGAGAAAAAGGAAAAAGAAAAAACTCCCGGAGAGTTAGTAATATGCTTGTTAGCATATTCAGATTTCAATTAAAGTCAAATAGCCCTCTGTACTCTGAAAGCTCTGGCCTGCCGGGCTGCAAACAATATCTCGGTAAGTAGAGCGGGAGCGCAGACGTGTGCAGAATAGGAGGCGAGGTTCGGCGTCAGTGGTAGTGCACATCTGTTTTGATTTTTTTAAATTGTAGTGTGACCAAATATGTTTGACATTCCAGAAAAATATCCTCGATTTAGTAAATGAATTTCCCGAGAAGATTGCATGCAGTTTGCATGTTACAAAGCAGACTACACCAATCAGTGCCGAACTCAAACCATACATCACGGGTGAGTCCCCTAAAGATGTTTTGACTGTCTCCACGTAGTTTATTTGATGGGCATGCCAGTTGGTTGAGTGTAGATGGTTTATTGTGTGGAGTTGCTGGCTGGGAATGTCACTACCTGGGGAACTGAGAGGTGATTCATCATGGAAAAATAAGGAGAGATTACTTTGGATTTATTTATTATATACAATGTTCCTACTGCCCATATTAAAAATTTATTTTCCACATTTTTTAGGGGACCTTTGCATCATCACTGTAGTATGCATGCAAAGAATTTATATTCCAGCCCTGGTAGAATCGATGCCATTTGCCATTAATGGTAATTTAAATTACTTATGGTTTCCCCTGCCTGGAAGGATTTTTCACAAAACAGCTTCGTTACTTTGCTGAAGGCAGTTTTTAATTTCTCCCAAAGTGCAGCAAGCTTGCTGCCCACCTGAGAGGGCGTTGCGGTTGGCTCCCCTCTTACTCGCCATAAGTTAGGAAACCCAGGTGCCAGCTGGAGCCATTGTGGGAGTGGCTCAAGACTAGACTCACTAAGCCCGAGTTACTGAAGGTGAACACTGTCGCCGAGTCGTGGTTTGTCGTTCCTCGTTCCAGTACAAACATGTCTGGCCTAACTTGGTGTCTATTCTGTTTCTTGGTAGAAGGAAGAATAACAGAGGAGGACCTAAGAGAGCACCTTTCGAAAGAGACTTTGTTCTATCTCTGTGGCCCCCCTCCGATGACAGACTTTTTCTCCAAGCAGCTAGAAAGCAGCCATGTTCCCAGAGAAAACATCTGCTTTGAGAAGTGGTGGTAGGGAGCCAGCGACAGTAGAAAGGAGAAGGCTGTGGGATTTACTGGGGACAGTGAAGGCATTGTGTTACGTGATTTGTGGCAAGATGAAGTCACCTCTACTCGGCCTTCTCTGATGAAGTCTGTGGACAGAGTGACCTGCAGGAGGAGAAAGGAAAAATCACCAGACAAGTCTTACCTGATCAACTTTTTGCAAAGACTTCATTGATTGAACCATTTTTTACTGTATTGACTTTCTTTTATTAGTAAGTGTTTGACTATCTCATGATGTACCTTGAATTGGTCAATATAGATTTTCTTTCCCCTAAGGGAAGAAAAAGACATATACTTAACATTTAATCATAGGAAAATGGGGTTGTGTGTGTGAAATGTAGGCTATCGTTAAATTATTTGACAGCAGCCTAGATATCTTATATTCAATAAACTTATCATTTAAACACATTCTTAATAGTGTTACTGTGAAAATTCTTTATACTTAAAGTCTTAGTTGACCGCACCATGGCCTGCAGCCTGGCCTCTTCAGACCAGCAAAATTGGGTTTGGAAACTGAAAATTGTTAGGAAAACTGCTTTAGGGAATTGAATACCAGCATATTTGCTTAATGTTAATGGGTATCCTAAGTATATATCCTGACTGATCGTTAGTTTCTTCTCAAATGAAACCCTTTCTGTGTTCTGTGTCCTGGCTGCCTGCCTCGCGCTACGTGTAGGGGCGGCTTCTTGGGGACAAAGGCGTTGGGGACTGCTGTGTTTCATGTGGAATCTGCCTTCAATGGCCAGGCTGGCTGGCTGTAGAAATGTGCTTAGCATTGATTAGGGGGTATAGAGCAGTTTCCAAATCCTGCTTCTCTGCCTTTTACTTCATTCCTTTGCCAGGGTCATTTCTGGCAGCAGCAGCAGCTCCTCAACACATACTTGTTGAATGACTGAAAGAAAGCAACTAATGTCTAACTCCTTGCTGAGCCCGGGATGGGGAGGCAGTCCCCAGGACGGGGGAGAGCATGGTACAGCCTCGTTCCAAGGCCGCTCTGGTGAAACTGCTAGAAAGCAGACTGTAGATCTTAGTCTTGTTCAGATTTTTAAAAATCCAGAAGAAATCCATGGGCTAAGGCCAGACCATCCTTTCTGTGACTAGCAGCCTTGGGCTGAAGGCTGCCTGCTCGTAGAACACGGAGGACACACGGAGTCTGGGAAGATTGACACATTAGTGCTGGAGACCCAGGAGCTCCAGTCCACAGATCCCGTTCTTGAGCTGATGAGAAGACAGGTGGCCCCTCTCATCTCTGGCTGCAGGCCTCACAGGAACTTAGGGCTGAAACACAGCGTTGATTCACAGACCTGATGATGGTATCACCATTCTGGCCTCTACCCTGTTTTGAATTTTGTCAGGTTTTAAGCAGAGATCATTTGTCAACCATTTTCTTTTTTTCCAATTACAGTTGACATTCAATATTATTTTTTATGTTAGTTTCAGGAGTATAGCACAGTGGTTAGACATTTATGTAATTTACGAAGTAATCCCTCCAGTAAGTCTAGTACACACCTGGCACCATACATGGTTATTACAATACTATTGACTGTATTCTCTACGCTGTGCTTTATATCCCATGACTCTTTTGTAACTGTCAATTTCCACTTAATCCCCCTCACCTTTCCCCCCAGACCCCCTCCCATTTGGCAACCATCAGTTTGTTCTCTGTATCTATGAGTGTGTTTCTGTTTTGTTTGTTTGTTTTTTAGATTCCACATATAAGTGAAACATATGGTATTTGTCTTTCTCTGTCTGACTTATTTCACTTAGCATAATACCCTCTAGGTTCAATGCCAGATAGGAATTCAGTGGGAGGAAAGGAGCTATTAGCCTGATGGGAATATGAACATCCATTCAAGGCAGTGATCATCAGCGTTTCGGGGGTGAGGGGAATGTGAGACGCTCTGGCCACTATAAGGAGCCAATTCATCGGCTGTCCCCCAAGTGTCCAGGCTGAGGGCTGGGCTTTAGGGCTGAGTACTCGAGAGCATAGCACAATGAGAATCAGGGATGTGGGGGCAGAAAGGGGTTCTGCCAGCTGGTTGGCAGGGTGGGAGACCCAGGTGTGGAGGCAGTGGCTCCCCCAGGCCTTTCTGTGTTGGGAGTGGAGGTGCAGAGTGAGCGTCACCAGTGTAGCGTGGAAGGAGTGCCGCCCACTCTCTCCACCCACCCACCACCACAACTGTGCGCCTGCTGTTGTCACAGAGCGAGGGCCGCCTGACCTGGAGATCCCCGCTCTGCCTGTCACCATGCCGGTGACTCACTGCCACCCTCTGTAAACCACTGGGATGGGCCAGGTCGTGACCTCCACATGGACTGTAGTTCCTTCCAGCTCTGTCGTTTCTGGAGCTGAGTGCTGAACATTGGAGTGGGTTTAAGAACAACCTAGAGGAAATAAATGGTGATGAGTGACTATAGGTAATAGTTTCAAGTGATTTTACTATAAAGAGGAGGAGAAAAATGGGATGGTAGCTGGAAAGAGAAGTGGTAATAAGAGCATTCCATTTTTTCACTCCATTAAAAAAAAATTGTTTTCAAAACTTTTTATTGTGAAGTAATTTTAGATCTATAGAAGACCTGCAAAGAGAGGACAAGGGTTCCCCATATACTCTTTACCCAACTTCCTTAAATGTTAACATCTTACATATCCATGGCATATGTATGAAAACCAAGAAATTAACAGTACAGTTAAAATTGCTACAATACTATTAACTAAACCACCGTTGTTTTTAAAGATGGGAGAGATACTAGACTGACTGTATGAAAAACTATGAAAGAAGCATTCCGTGAGACTCCAGTGGGGGAGGAGATGACTTTTTCTAGAGGATGATAAACTTGTTAACTGTCATTTATCGAGCATCTGCGATGTGCAGCCACTGTGCTAGAAATTGAAGATAGGAAAGGATAAGACAAAGGTTATCTTGAGGAGCAAGTTAAATACTTCGGGGAACTATTTTTCATGAAGCTAAAAAGTGATAAAAGCTATCTTCTACAACGAAGTATATTGAATACCGAGAACATCTCAACATGATTGAAAGTAAAAACGCTCTGGGGAAAAGAACATTTTTTAGCAACTATCACTGGTTGAAAGGGAGGCTGTGGAAGATGGATGTCTGGGCGAGTCATTGGAGTGCTGGTGTCCTGAGAGTAGCAGGTGGGCAGGGCAGTGGGAAAGGTGGTTCCCATGCTCCGGAGACAGTGCTTGGGAGAATTATTATGGGATGCAGAGCTGCAGGTGCATGTACGTGCACGTGGGTGAGTATGAATATATGTGTGTGCATGCAGTGACTGTTGAACAGTACCAATTCATGGACCTCCGCCTGACATCATTTTTTTCTTTTTGAATGGAAAACAGCAATTTCCTTTATTCCCGGGTATTGCAGATGATCATATGCTGATAATTTAACCTGAGAGCTGTTATTTCATTTTCTTTTAAATGAAACTCAAAGAAGTATGCTGTTCTCATCTTCGAGGAATAGTGAGATGTTCCATCTTTAATATTATTACTCTTTCCTAATACGCGCATACACAGCAAGCGTGGTGATGACATATAAAGATACCTACTAACCCACCACATCAAGGCATGCATTTTAAAATGATTTGTGCTCAGGAGCGCAGACTTCCCTAGTTGTTGAGAGACATCCTGATCATTCTGTTCTGAGTTATTAAAAACCCCTGCTGGTGACCACTAGGCCTGACCTAGTCTCTCCCATCTGATCCCCAAGTCCCATTTTGCTACGCTTGAGCCTACCAAAATTTTATCTGCTCCTTTGTTCTTTTTTAATTACCTGATAAATAGGATTGTAAAAAGTCAAATCATAGAAAAATATGTACACTAAATTCTGAAGTCCTGAGTCGCCGCGCCCCACGCCCTCACCTAGGATGGAATTCTGTATAAAGAGCTCGCTAGGCATCCTAGACATTTTACAGTGTGTTAGTCCTGTACACATGGACAGGTATGTGTCCATACCTTTTCATTTTTATTCTTTTAACACTCCAAACAATGTACTTCACCGTATCTCTGTGATGGACATTTAGATTGTTCCCAGTTTGGGGCTATTACAAACAATATTGCAGCAGACACACTTGTTCATGTAATGTTTGTGGTGTAGTCCTGTAGACTTTCTAGAAGTATCATTTCTGGATCAAAAATTGACTATTATTTTCAAATTACCCTATAAAATGCCTAATCGATTTATATTCAGATAGAATATGAAAGTACTCATTTCCCTACCTTCTGGCAACTAGAAAGTCTAAGTTCATAAACTGTTTTTCCTAATCTGTTGGGTAAAAAGATGATTTAAAAAAATTAATTTCCTGATTTCTCCCTAGCATGTTTTTCCCCAAAGTGCTTTAGCCATTTCTCTTTTTTCTTTTGAGAATGGTGTGTTTGTGCATTTTTATGTCCACTTTGATGTCTGGCTGATTTGTAACTCTCTATAAAATAGAATGAATGCTAATCCTTTGTTATGCGTGTTGCAAATATTTTTTTCCCATTCTGTTACTTGTCACTGAGTTCTGTTTGTTCTAACTTATACCAGAGTTTAAATTTATATGTAATCAATTATGCCCATCTTTTCCCATAGCTTTTGGATATATTTTCTTTTGATATTTTTACAGGCCTTTTATCCCTCTGGGGATTTATTTTTGTGCTTGATGGGGAATAGGGATCTGGCTTTTTCCATATGGCTCTGCAGTTGCCCGACACCATTTATCAAATACTCTACACTTTCCCCAGTGGTTTGAAATGCCTCCCTTATCACATACTAAATTCCCACCTACTAGTGGATTTCCCCCCTTAGGCTCTCTACTCTGTTCCATAGTTCTCATTTGTTGCGGTTCTGATATCACATGGTTTTAATTACTCTAGCTTTTTAGTATATTCTATATCCCCCGCCCCAACCACACACACTTTTTTTTTCATTTCCAGATTATTTAAACACAAACAGATCTTCCGCATAGTGATATAACCGCACTTTCACAGAGAAAGTTAGAAAGGAAAAGTGATAGAAAATAGTTACTCTGGGATAATCTGAATTCATTGGTGGTCTAGATTTTGGTTGGAATATTACCATCAATTGAAGATTACAGCATTACTTGGCACTTGACAAGAACTTTGTTTTATCGCATTAAATTATTCCCAACAGTTATGTGCAGTAGGCAGGGTGAGTGCTGCCCCATTTTACCAGTAAGGGAGCTGAGACAGAGTGGCTAGATGCCTGCCCGGCCTCACGGACCTCCCGACTGGTCTCCT